TGTAATAAAAAAAAACTGAAAGTAGAATGCTATAATAAAGAAATTTGTGAAAGTAGGTTGCTATTTTGCKCATTTTGCCCATCGATTTATGTAGACAACAAGAAGAGAGTCAATTACCTTTGCTTCATGTTTATTCTAGTTAGGGRTTGTTTGTTTACTTCTTAGGTGTCGGGTGCTATTTGTTTTTCAAGAGGTGTTGAAGTCTGGAATCTTATTTCGCTTCCGATTGATAAGAGGTTGTGCTGAAGTCTAAAAGCATAAAGACTTTGTTTTTATAAACTGGTAAATGTATGAATCTGAATAATTGTCTATTTACCCTACAGAATATTATAATGTTGAATTTATATTCTTTATACAATTTCATCTGTTTATTTATCATCATTACAAAATTTACATTTAAATTATAAACTAGCAACTCATAATAACCAAAATATACCATCGCCAATTTTAAATACATTCAAATTTTATCAAAGTACATCGATTGATCCAAACACAATAGAGAATATGAACAAAGTTTCATGACAATTAAAATCAATCTTCATTTACATTGAAGATCCAAGCAGAATATGAACAAACTTCTTCTACTTATGATTTCCACATTATATTTCTCTATATGAATGTAATAATTGGATGTTAGCTCTATACTTGTATATCTAGAACATGATCAAAAATTGTATGCCTACAAACACCTATGAACTACAGAGGACACGTGCAGCCACTGTATGGTTCAACAGGTTTCAGCTACGAATATACATAAGCATATGCTCCCGAGCAACAAGGTAGTCAAAACAATAATAAAAAAGCAAAAGATTCTAAAATGATCAACAATAGCTTATCAAAAAAGCTTTACAAGGATATGTAAGATTATAATGATAAGCCACATTCTCTATGTGACTGTCAATTAATTACATATTCCTTCTCACATGTTGTAACGCATGTTCCTTCCCATGAACAAACCTTTCTATTAAACATACATATAATATAAGTAAAGATGTAAGAATCTCCCAACTTACCCAAGAACACTTTATGATATTTTACTGTCAGCAAGACATGACAACATGTATAGTTCAACTTCAGCAAAACTAAATCTTATGTAATAATGATTGTAGAAGTTCTGGGGCTTGTAAACAAAAAAGATACACCCTTGAATAGCAGGAAAGCATGTAAGGATCAAGTTTCAAGCACTTTCAGCAATTTAGCTTCTAAACTTATTTTTAAGAACAAAAAATTACAMTTTACATAGAACAGAAATTCAGCAGAAACGACTTCAACACTTATWTTTGGACAAAAACTAATCCAAGACAAGGAAAACCCCATATTCCACTACCACGATTAGATAGTTATGAAATAGCTATATAGAACAACGCACATTTCAATGCACGTAAGAAAATCTAGATCCATGAATTTCACAGAATAATAGCAACATATCAAAAATCAACCACGTTCCATACAAGCATTATCTACCAAATCTAACCTAGTTTTAAGCCTAAATGACTACTCAAAAGGAAAARAAAACAACAAAATAACACCATAGTTGATAGAGTTAAGATCAAAATGGGATAGATTGAGCGAGTATGAGAGCGATAATAGCACCTGGGATCGCTTGAGAACAGCAAGAAGGATTAATTTCGTTTTCCGATTGATGTGATACACAACGGCCTTGAAGATTAGAAGGGAGGATTTACGGGAAAGATTTGAGATGGCCACCGAGTTCCAATAGGCGACAAGAGGAGGGCRGCTTGGAACGATGAATTAGGTTGGCGGCGATCTGAGGGTGTTAGAGGATTGTCTGCCTCTTGTTGTATGTATCAGTTAACCATGTTATAAACCATATTCATATTTAATGTCATAAAAACAATTAATAAAGCATCAACCGTAGTTGCGTTTGGTACAAAGAACATGACAGGACATCACAGAACAGGACAGGACGGAACAAAACTTATCGTCCCATGTTTGGTGCAGCATGGGACAGAACAAGAACCCATTGTCCCATGTTTGGTGCGACATGGGACAGAGACAAGAACTTAGACAAGGTGGGACAGCATGGGACAAAAGAGGTTTTTTCTTATTTCACGAAAATAGGTGGAACAAAATGGGACAAAAGTGAGACAGAAACTAAAATAATACTAATCTACCTAGTTTGATATATAACTTTAATATGATATTTATTTTAATGGTCATTACCTCTAGTTTCGGCCGCCACCACCACCACCACTGACACCGACACCTCCTTTTCCACTACAACATCTTCCACCGCCTCCACAACCACCGTCCACTAAGTTCATCCCCACCTCTCCATAGTCGACCATCGACCACCACTTCCACAACCACCGTTGGCCACCTCCAACTCCTCCTCTACTACAAAACCTCTTCCACACCATCGGCCACCACCATTCATTGCCACCTCACCTCCACCATAACCACCACCACAACTATATTCACTACATCAGCCACAACTACCTCMTCTACCGTTGTCAACCGCCAGCACCACCACGATCCACCATCTTCATGTCCTCTATAACCACCGCCGTCCACCAACCACCATTGCCTATACCTCCATAACCACCGCCCATTGCCACTACTACCGTCGGCCACCACCGCCTCTACCTTAACCAAAACCACCTCCACCGCCACCACTACTACCATCAATTATATCAATTTTTTTCGTTCAAATTTGGTACCATTATATATGTATCTATTCATTTATATGAAAATTGTGTACAAATATTTATAAATTAAATTCTTTAATTATTTACTTTATTTGTGTTAACTATAACTATTATATAACATTTTAAAATCATTAAATAACTTTTGGAGGTAGCGTGTCTAGTTTTGTCCTGTCCAGTCCTAGTCGTACCAAACACTAGACATACTCTTGTGTTGTCCAGTACTGTCCTATCCAGTCCTACCGTATTGTGTTGTTCTGTCCTGTCCAATYATGTCTGCGTACCAAACGCTACCTTAGTAAACATTTGTATTGTGTTTATCAGTAAAATTCAAGACTATCACTTATTTATCGATAAAAGTGACATCCAAGCATTTGGAGTTGTACTTATTGACCTTTTTTTAAGTATATAATATTTATATACGKTAAATGTAACAAATAAACTCGCACATTCTTCTCMCCTTTGGTGAGGTTTGAACCTCTAATCTCCTAGGAAAGCAAAGACTACGATATCACTAGACCAAAGACCCTTTAATTGTACTTCTWGACCTTTTGATAGGAAGAAAACCCATGAAGAAAATGAGACGTWGTCTATTCTATTCCATATTTACATGGGTGAGGCTTTTTTCCATCATTACCATATTCAGTAACCAAGAAAACAATTTTTTTTGGATCCTACTTCTTTACTTAAAAGAATATGCGACCTTTTATTGTCATTTTAACTTTTTAGTCCTACTTKTTTTCCTTTCATTTGATATTCAATTCCTAGCTTGTGTCTCAATACTTCACATAGTAATGGATGACCTTATCAAATTGATTATGTTTTGAATTTGTTCGAAATGTTCATTCTTTACACCGTAGTCCTGTGAAGGATTGAATTCAGAGGTYAGCTTGCATTTTCATTTTCAAAGAAATCACTAACATATTATGTTTGTTGATGAGAGGTTCTTTGATATATTAGTTGCTTCCGGAGGATAACAATAATAATGTGTAGATTTTGACAACCCAAAACCAGGGTAGTTTAGCAACAGCCTACGCCATGTCATAGCTTTAAACATGCATCATGAAGTCTACATAGTACATTGTAACCGTAGATTAGAGTAGATCAGTACTTGAAAAACTCTCATTAATCTTGGAGCAACAATTTCCTCCACATGTAACTCAGTTGGTTAAGAAGTAGAGAAACTTTGCTCAAATCTTGAAATAAGGTACTATGCATCTTAATAAGAAAAAACTTGACCCTGTACCCTTAACTATTTAAGTAATGTCTTGTGATGCACATAAAACGGGGCCATATGAAGTGCATAAATTGGTTCTTATGCATCGTTGCTCACTTGTTCTTTAGTATTTTGATGGGGCTATTTGTTGTAAAGATGAATACCTTATTATATCTTGTTTGATTTATGTGATTATTCATGAAGTTAAATATGTTCAGTTTTGTAGTCAAAATCCGGAGGTAAAGTGGGTTTAGAGGGAGGACAAGGTTTTCGTCATAGCAGTATTGCCTGATCCAAAAGATGCCAAGGTCAATATATCCTAAAAGGAATTTTACGTTCTTTTTTACGACTGGTACACATCAGTCTAAAGTGAAGCTTGAGACTTCTCGACAAAGTTAATGTAGATGTAAGTAGTTCTTYATATCTAAAACCTTTTTTTGTTGATTTAGTGTTTAACAATAGGCCCATAATCTTTTAAAACATCGGTTGATTGTTGGACCAAAATCATTTTGGTGGTTTCAATTACCTACATGTACAAGTTAAAGGAACGTTTTTTTGTCTATTGTCTAAGGGGCTTTGTGGTCAAGAACATGTTTGCGTGCATCTCATCCAGACTTGACTTGACTTGACTTTTGACTGAAATATATTGGATTATCTTTTCATAAATTAGCAACATTGCAAAAAGTAATGTGTTTTTGTAAGCATCATATTATCAGGGTCGGTCCTAAGATTTTTGATACCCTGTGCGAAAATAATAAAAAGTGCCTCTAAGCCTATTTTTTTAAGCCAATAAAACAACGAAACATGCGATTTTTTAAAAAGCTTAGAACATATTCAAGCTAAATGTCTCATCCCCATGTTGATTTTTATTAACTATAATAAAAAAAATGTGGRGCACATAAAAACCAAAACCCCGAATATAGAATATAGAATGATAAAAAGATAAATCTTTGATTAAGATCGTGCTTCTTTCTTTTTCCAGTTTTTCCTTTTCCAAATTGAGATTAGYAAAATAGAAACTTTATTTCAATATATGAGACTTAAAAAATAAGGAAAACTATTAGTTTTTAACTAAAATGATAAATCACCTCTAAATTACTGTCATATTAAGCAAAAAGTAAAACTCAAAAGTTACAGGTCTAACGACTAAAGGCTAAGKGTCTATYTGTTAGCAGYTTAATAAGCTTAATGGAACTAACAACTTATTTGATCAATTATGCATGACTGTTTCGTAATGGCTTAATGATATAGAGAGTTACTTATCCAGTAAGCTTCTAGGGGGAGCTTTATATAGAAAACCAAGTTTTTTTTTTYYWAA